CTCCCTGCATCCCGGGATGTGCTGCCCTGCCCTGCCCAGGGGGTTACTCCTTTGAGCAGCACCATTCCCACTCCCCCCGGCATTCCCTGCCCAAAGGGATGTCCCCAGTGGGGGCTCAGAGCCCTGAGCTGCAGCAGTGCTCCCTGAGGTTCCTTACCTGTGGCATGGTGCAGGGAGAAGGTGAGGAGCAGGCTGAGCAGCAGGACAGTCCTTGCAGGGAGCATGGTGGCTGTGGGGTGGCTCTTCCTCCGTGCTCTGTGCTGCCCTGCTCGCTGCCTGTGCCTGGGGCTCTCTCCACACCGTTATTTATCCTCTGCCTGCCTGCCCGCCCACTCAAGCTGCATTTCCAAAAATTCCAAACGTGTGCTAAGAAATCAGGGTGAAGGGGGTTTCTGTCGTTTATTTTTGGGACACATCCAGCGCTGGGTGGAAAGTTTCAAGGAGCAGTTCTGCATTCTGTGGCAGAGCCATGACGTGGCAAGGGAGCTTCCAGGAGACTTTGGTGGAATTGAAAGTAAATACAAACCATCTTCTCATGCAGGCAGAACATCAAGTGCAGTGCTTGTCTGTCTGTTTCTAAAGGGGACACAGCCCACAGTCCCTGAGCAGGGACAAGTCTCGGTGGGCTCAATTGCTTTGCCCAGTGCCAAAGGCCAGTGATGGAATTCCATCCAAACGGAGCTCCCAGACACCTTGGGGACACAGAGAGCACTGGGCCAGGCAGGAAAGCACGATGGGATGGGATGGAATGGAATGGAATGGAATGGAATGGAATGGAATGGAATGGAATGGGATATCAGGCAGAAGAAGCCATACGGGACCAATCCAGAAGGGACCCCAGAGCAGGGGGTGTCAGAGGTGCTTTTGGTGGGTTCAGCAGACTTTAGAGAAGGGGAAGAAATGGGGCAGGGGCAGTGGGGTGTCTGAGGAGGGTCTGGGTCTCAACACAAGGCTGAGCCCATGTGTTGCCTCTGCCTTCCACACCAGCACTGGGATAGAAATGAGAGTCAGGGGGATGGAGGCTTGTGGCCATCAGTGCACAGACAGGGCATTCCTGCAGGGAGATGGGACAGATCCTACACAGCCCCAGGAGAGTCATCCCAGGTGCCAGGGAGGAGGGGCAGGTGGCACAGATCCCAGGGAGCACTGCTGGACATCAGCCCAGCTTCCATGCAGGGATCTGCTCCCTGGGAAGGCAGATGCAGCTGTGTGTGAGGAATTGGTGAGGTCCTGCTGGAAACCCACAGAGGATGATGCTGGGTGGGAGCACAGGAGGGGACCTGGCTGTGGCTTGGGGGATGAGGCAATCTCAGAGGGGAAGAAAGATGGAAATAGGTTTCTTGGAAGATTATTTCATGTCTGCACGACTTCTCTGGAAGGAGAAAGGAGAAGGAAACAGATCCAATGTGCAGAAAATGCCGGTTTAGAAGAAATGGTCTGCAGGATGTGGGGTCTGCTGGCCTTGCATGGGGCAAGGTGGCCACGCAGAGAGCTGGGGACAGCCCCACTGGGCTCTAGTGCCACTGTCCCCAGGCAGGGCTCTGCAGGGAGAAAATGCCTGACACACAGAGCAGCCTGAGTCCTCTTCTGTGGACTTTGCAGCACCCCCAGGTTCTCCTGCCCTCCCTGTCCATGTCTCCAGAGCACAGACCCTTGGGGCCAGCAGCCACCAGGGTCACACCAGCTCCTGGGCACTGTTTAAAAGCACACAACTGCAATTAAGGGGAGAACCGAGCTAATGACTTTTTCCAACCAGCATCTCCTGGCCCTGAACACCTTATGTGCCAGCCCCGAGCTCCCTTTTCAGCTTGGCTGAGGGCACACATTTGCTCCTCTTTTCCCTTAGGTATTCATTCCCCTCCAGAAGCATTAGTAGATGCCTCCACTATCTGTTCTTCATAGAGCAAATCAGTGCATGCTGGATGTTTAAAGGCCTGGAAAGACCCCACAAGGCTCTGGAGGATTGGGTTTCCCTCTGTGTTCCTGTCCCAGCAGTGCACCTTTGGGTTTGGCTTTACTGCTCTCCAGCCTCCTCTGCAGTGCCTGGGGCATTCCCTGCACCCTCCTGAGCCATCCCCACCAAGGCACAGCCTCTTCCCCAGGTGAGCAGCTCCTGGTGAGGCAAATGCAAAGGCAAGTGGAGAGAAGGGGGTACAGATTCTGCAGAGGATTTTATGGGTGTCCAAACCACCTGCAACCTCACTATAATTAATAATTGAATACAAATTTTCTGACTGAGGAAAACCCCTACTTTAGAAATTAAAATGGATAGGCATGGACAAAAAAAAAATTTAAAAGCAAAGTAGAGGTGAGAAATATTCTGTGACTCATAAAATGCTTTGGGTTTTGAATGGATAATCACAAAATTTAATACTTTAGCAGAGAACATGAACTGTTTGCCCATGATAAATGTCGATTTCAGGCTGGACTTGCCCTGCCCCGAGGTCTGTGCTGTACCCGAGGCACAGCTGTCAGGAGAGGGCACCAAGTCCAAGCCAACAGGGTGACTCCATGGCCTGAGGACTCCTGAAGTGGAAAGGCAACAGTTTTGGAAGCTTCTGCAGCTGAAGCTTCTCCTGGTGCACCAGAGTTCTCCACCTTCTTGGTGCCTGTGACACCTCAGGTTCCAGACCTGCAGTGTGTCAGGGTCACCCCTCAGCTCTGGGTGGGTTTTGCCTCTGCTGTGAAAGCGTCCCTGGAGCTGCTGCAGCCAAAATCCCCTTCCCCAGGAGCTGTGAGTGCTGGCAGCAAGGCTCTCTGGGTGGCTGCTGCTCAGGGACTGGCTGAGCATCATCTGGGCCGATGGGGTTTTTTTTGGTAGGTTTCTTTTTTTTTCTTTGGTTCTCCTTTTTTTTCCCCTTTATTGAACTGTCATGGAGAAAGAGGAAATGGGGGGACATTCGGAGTTGCAGCATTTGTCTTCCCAGGTCACTGTTACACTTGAGGGAGCCCTGCTCTGCTCCCCATGGCTGAGCACCTGCCCACTGATGGGAAGGACAGAATGAATCCCTTATTTTGCTTTATTTATTAAATTGTCTTTAACTCACAGCTTTCCTCACTCTTGCCCTTCCAGTTCTGCTCCCTCTCCCAAATCCCTGGCAGGGATCACTGCTGAGCTCTCCTTGGCCCCTGGCAGGGGCAAAATTTCCAGGGCTGTATATGCAGGAATCCCTTGTGTGATTCAGCATCCCCTGTCTGTCCTGCCTGCCCAGGGAGCTGTGCAGAGAAACCTTCCCCTGCAGCCCAGCTCAGACACCACAGCTGGGCACACACGGCAGGCAGGCTGTGCTCCTCCACGGGACAGCAAATGGGACAGGCTGGAACTGATGGTTTTTAGTTTTGCACCTAAAAACCCTCAGAGGAGGCCCCAGCTCCTTTTGAGTCCCCTTGCAGTCCCATCCATCCCCCTCCCCTCCTGCCCCAGTGAGACCCAGTGGGAAGAGCCACCATCCAGCCCACAGCTGTGGGGCTGAGAGAACAAAGGACACCACTCTCCAATACCACATGAAGTAACCTTTATTTTGTGGCTGTGATCAGCAGGCAGGTGCTGGCGGGGCCAGCAGCATTCCAGGAGCTGGTGCCCAGCTGTGGAGGCAGTGCAGGGCTCTGGGGAGTCAGTGCCCTCTCCCAGCAGCTGGGACATCCACAATCCTTCCTGGGAGTTTACAGGGACTGTGACCTTCCTTCCCACCAGGATGTTGGGTAGCCTGAACCAGGCACCAAGTCATTTCTTTTTTTGAAGCTCTGTAATTGCTCTCTTCACCCACTTCTCCTCGGGGTTTGTACAGATCTTGGCTCCTCTCTTGGTCTCAAACCTGCCAAGGGTAAAGATGAAGCTTTGTGAGGAATGACAGCTGTGATTCCATTTGTGCCCACACCATCCTCCCTCCCCTGCACTCTTTCTCCTTTCCCTTTGTCCCTGTGTGCTGCCCTGGGTTCTGGGTGTCCTACAAGCAGCTCATCCTGCAGCCCAGCCCCTCTGGAGCCCGTGCAGAGCCATCAGGAGCTGGGATGGCCTCGCAGAAGTGCCCAGACAGTCACATCCTCCCCTCTGAATGCTGGAAGATCACGGAGGTTACACAGACCTGTCCCTGTCCTGTCCCCAGATGGAACAAATTAACTGAACCCAGGCAGCCCAGGAGACAGCACAGCCTAGGGAAATTGCCAGGACTTACACAATTGCTGGGGAATAACATTCCCTGGGAGTTGAGTAGAAGCCCAGGAGGTTGACCAGGCAGAGAGCGCACCTCTCATATTCAAAGCAGCACTCGGATGGAGAGTAAGGGCCTGGAGAACACAGAGAGGGATGGTGAGTGCTGGCTCTGGAAGGCAGCAGAACCTTCACCCAGGACAAGGCTGATGAACACAACACCCCCCAAGCTCTGCAAATGCTGCCATGAGGAGCCCCAGGTGCTCTCCTCCTCCCTGGCCAGGGCAGAAGGATGCTCCAGGTTATCACCCAGCCTGCAGCAGGAGCAGTCTCCATCCTCCCCTGCACCCCAGGGTGTGCTGCTCTGCCCTGGCCAGGAGTTGCTCCTCCTGCCAGCAGCACCATCCCTGCTCCACACTGGGGTTTCCTTCCTAACCATCCCGATGGGACAACCCCGAGTCCCAAGCGGCAGCAGTGGCCCAGGAGATGTTCTACCTGCACTGGAGCATGGGGAGAGGCTGAGGAGCACCACGAGCAGCAGGACTGTCCTTGCAGTGAGCATGGTGGCTCTGGGAGGGCTCTTCCTTGTAGGATGCTGCTCTGCCTCTTTGGGGGAGCCCAACTCTGAGCTCAGGCAAGGAGGTGCTGCAATTTATGCTCTCTACTCCTCCACAGTTATCCCTTTTCTAAAGAATTTGAATCAAATCAAAAAAAAAGACTTCGTTGCCCATGGGGGATTTCCATGTCACATGGGATCATCAAAATTGCAGACAGACAATACCTGGAAAGACAAAATAAATTGTGTCAGCTTCTGTGCTCACCCACACAGGGAAAACCACGAGGGAAGTGAAATCTTCTTCTCTGCAGATATAAACTCAAGAGCTCCTGGACCTCCAGAGAGGGGATTTGTAGCCATAGGAAAGACAAAGCTTGGTGTTCAATGCAAGGTCACTCAGCCCAGAGATAACACAAATGTGCTGGAGATGTCTGGATGGCTTCTGGAGATGTCTGGATTCTGGTGAATCCTGGAAAGCATTAAACAGAACCACAGTGACTGCTGCTGCCACCAGCCCTCTGTGGCTTGAAAGCGGTAAGCTGGCAAATACTGGCAGAAATTGTATCATATTCCATGTTGCTACTATGGAGAGGAACACAAGTTTTCCACCAAAATTCCCTGTTTGTAACTGGGCAGTGAGGGGGCAAAAGAGAAGGGGGTGTAGTTGAGCCTTTCCTTGTGGACAGGGCAGGGCAGGAGTCAGCATCAGGCTAAGGGGAATGGATGGAAAACTTACTGTTCAAAGTTTTTGGGTGACTTTCCATCATCTTCCTCCCTCCACAGCCTTGAGGCATCCCAGGTCCTGCAGGGACCTGCTGAAAGGGATCAGCCCATCTGTGTTATCCTGGGGACAGTTCTCCCTTGCTGTGCTGGGCTCCCCCTTCCTCAGGCCTTCCAAAGCTCCAAGGAGCCCCTCTGTAGCTCCTTGTCATTCTTGCTCAGCTCAGACACTTTTTTCCTTTCCCTCTTTTTAACCTTTTTAAACCAGACTCTAAGTGGGTGCACGGAGCAGTGGGGCCCCATGCAGATCCCCAGGCACCACAGTCCCCCCTCACTCCCTGTCAACGACCCAAGGGGCCACCTCAAGCCCTTCTTCACCCCCCAGCCACTCTCAGGAGCAGGATATTGTGCCTGGGACTGTTATCCCTGGATGTCTCTTAAAATACCTGGGAGAAGACCACCCAATGCTGAGAACTCATTGGTCATGCTCAGCTCTCCCCAAGCTTCATCAGACACTTTTCCTGCTGGTGGAGGCACAAGATCCACCGCTCTGGATGGACCTCAAGAAGCTTCTGCTGTCTGTTTTTCTGGTTCTGCTTCCCTTTTCCCAGGATTTAAAGCCATGTCTTTGGAAGCCAGATGACTCACAACTCCCTGGAGACCTTTTGATTTTTCTTCTTCTGCACTTTGGAAGGGGAAAAAGCTGTTAAGTGCTGGAAAGCCCCTCTGACTGCCCAAGTTTTCCTTTCATTTGAATGGACTCAGAAGAATGTGCTTGTTTACTTAAAAAATGAAGAGCATCCTTGTTATTCTACAGGAGGAGGACAAGGGAAACTGAGGGGACACATCAGATCCAGCCTTTGCCAGCAATGGTACCAGGAGGGGACAGAGGATTTGAGCAGAACCTGTGCTGGGTTTGGGGTGTCACTGACTGAGCACTCCTAGCTGGGCTGGAAAACACAACCCAGACATCTTCCACTCGGGAAGGCACTGCAAGAGCAGCTGGGCTGCCAAGGCAGGAAAGGGAACCTCACCCAGTGCCTGAAACTCATTCCAAGAAGGCAGTGGGAGGGTTTGGAATAAGTTTTCCCTGTTTTCTTCTGTTCTACTCAGTCACTTTGTATCTTTCCCATTTACAATATGAGACACACCCTTGTTTGGCTTCTCTAAACCCTCTGTACCCTTTCTGTGTGTAAAGCTCCTCCACATTTCTTCGGGGTGCTCACTCCAGGGTCTCCACAGCTCCATGTGGAAGCCCTGATTGACTCAGGGCACAATCACAAACTCCACGTACAGCAGTGCCAAGTCCTACAGCCTGGAAAGACACTCTAAAATTAGAAAAATGAGAATCTCTTCCAAAGCCTGCTTCCTACAGAGGGACACTGGGGACCACCAAGTGCTGTAAGCTGGTGATCTGAGGTGCATCCTGAGCGGGAAATTCTGCCCAGAGTCACGAGACAGAGGCTGCAGGAAGGCAGCTGGGTCCAGGAGCCCTTCCCCAAGGTTCTGTCTGCACTAATTCCCTGGGCAAGCTCATCCACAGGCACAGGGACAGAGCAGAAATTCGCTGTGGGCATGCAGGAAACCCTCACAACTACAGCCAAGAAAAAGTACAGAGATTTTCTGTGCCAGAAACTGGAAGTGGCCTTATCTTGATAAGGAACATGAAATAATGGATCTGATGTCAGTTTCCTCAAACACACTAAAAATGAGATATTCTTCTGTTTTTATCCAATGAGGTCAATCAACTACCTCAGGGTTAAGTGAAGGATGGACCTGGGGTGAGAGGGAGACACTGCACTGGAGAGGCTTCTGTGTCAAGTAGCAATCAGAGGAAATTATGCTTGATGAGGACTTCAGGCTCCTTTTTTCAACCTTGAGCCTTTTAAAGCTCCTAGAGTTTAAGCAAGCAGCAGAGAGATGCTTCAGCTCAGCTTTTAAAGCAAAGCTGAGATAACAGAAAAAAATAGGACATGGAAGCAATTCCAATCTAATTTTTAGTGATTTAATTCTGAACAGAGGTAGTCCTGATGATTTAAAGATGGTACTAGAATAAGTTATGAATTTATCTTTTCCTTAGTGTTTGATTAGAATAAAACCCCAGCAATCAGAAAAATAAATGCAGTTAAAGAGTGTGATGAGCAAGACACGTTAAGGTACCTACATATTGTAATGAAAATGTGTTTGTGATGGGGTTATGGTCAGAGTCAGCAAGCTGACATCACATCCCTCCTTGAAGGGTGACTCTCACTTATATCTATCTTTTTAAAATTATCTGGTGTGTGGCAGGATTCAAGGGTGAATTCTGAAAGCTCAAGAAATGAGCCTTCCTCCATCACCCGTGACCGTCAGCCAAGAGGTCCCAACAACCTCTGTGCTCTGTCCCAGGGGGGACTTCAGCAACAGGAGCAGCCCCTGCAGTGACATCAGCAGGGACACAATCCTTACAGAAGTGGAGATAAGGCAAATGCAAAGGCTGGCAGAACCACAGCCATGCAGCAGAACCCGAGAGCCCAAAGCAGCTGGGGACATCTGCCTTCTGCACAGGGTGAGTGGCCGTGCTTCAGCTTCACCACAGGCTGCCCCAAGCAGGAGAGCTCTTGTGCAACATTTCACAGGAAAGCAGCCGTGCTGAGACGTGTCATAAACCACAGCCCAGGCCAGAGATGATGGAGGAGGCACCTTCTGTTCTCCACCTCACACACTGGCCTGGGGAGAGGTCAGAGTGTGGAGGAGAGGATGGCACAGGGGTCCCACTGCCAGGCCCAGACTGCAGGGAGCAGAGGGAGGGGACAGGCCAGGAGCCAAGGGTGACCCCAGCACCTCCCCAGTGAGGTGACAGCCCACAGGGTCACAACGCAGGGGTCAGAGCCTCCACCAATGGTCCCTGGCACACCAACGGAAGAAACAAATCCAGAATCCATTTGGGAAGGTCTGGGGAATCTTCTCAGCAGTAACAGGAAATGGGGACAGAGACAGGGCTCCAGCTCCAGAAGGTCCATCCAGCCAGGAGACAAGATACCCACAGATGGACCCGAGGTATGTCCAGGAGTCTGGATCAGAGCCAGGACATGAGAGCAGCACTCACAGCACGGCAGGGCCAGGGGCTCAGGCCTGAGCTTGGATGGGTTCCTGAGGCTCAGGCAGAGCATTAGGAGATGTTGTGGGGTGAGCCCACCCACAGATGAGGCTGGTCAGGGTGATTATGGCCAATTAATGCCCTCAAGGCCTGACATTTGATGGATCCTATGGGGACACAAATGGAGCCCGTGAGGAGCCCCAGTGATTTCTCCTCCTCACAAGCTCAACCCAAACAGCTGCTCATGACATGGTGATGTTGTGGAGCTGAAACATGTGGGTCAGTAAGGGCTGAGAGAGGTCACGTCATGCCCAGGGGTCCCCCATCTCCTGTGGGCTGTGGGGAAGCATCAAGGCAGGACGTGCATCTTCCACACCAGGTGCAGAATGCAACTCTCACCCTTGCTGAACAGAACAGATGTGGCATTAATTACCCCCTGGACCAAACTCTGTCCCTGAGGCAGCTCCAGGAGAAGCAGGGGATGGTGTGAGGAGGGACACCCTTGCACAAGACCTTTCCCTGCACCAGACACCAACACCAGCAAAGCCAGGAGTTTGTGTCACCCACAGCCCAGGGACTGAGCACCCAAAAATTGCAGAGGAGCAGCCCCGAGGAGCCCTGCTGGCGCCGTCGGAAATGATGGGAAATGATTCATCCTGTCAGGCCTGGCTGCTCTGCACCGCCCCCTCCTTCCTCGCCTCCCTCTCCTCAACAGAGAGGAGAAATGAAATTAAAAAAAACAAAAAGTGCTTTCGTTTCGTTAGAGTTTCGTTGTTATCCCCCAGATGACCTTCCTGACCTGATGACTCATCTGCAGGAAATTTTCATTGACTTCTGCATGTACCTAGAAGGGCACAGGGCTGAGATGGTTGGGATGAGAACTCCTGAAATGCAGAGAATGCTCATCTTGACCCTCTTGCTCCTGCCAGCTCCCCACTCCAGGAAAATCCCTGAGAAATTACTCTTTCACTGAGTTGCTCTTCCCACCTCTCCAGCACCAGAGAGCAGCACACAAGGGCATCCCAAGCCCTGCTGGGGTAGGAGAGGTCCTATCTCATCCCTTGCTCTCCTGCCTCCTTACAGAATAACTTGGAGCATCATGTTTGTTGTCTCTACTATTTGGCCTTAGTTTTGCTTAAGCAATGCAAAACCCCAGCTGTTTGTTTTCTCTACTGCCTTAGTGAGATGGGAAACACAAATCCCTGAGAGGATTTCCTGCTAACATGTGCAAGATTAAAACTCTTAAAGGAGATGGAGCAACAGCCTGGCCACATCCAGCTATGCCAGCTTTGTCATCTCCTGGTGATGCTGGGATGCTCTTTCCACAGTGCACAATCACAGGTGTTCATCTCTGCAGGGACCAGGCTTGGTAACCCAAATCAAGGCTCAGTCTCCTGAGGATGAAAGTTTTTAACATAAGGACTTTATTACTCTTACTTCTATAAAAATGCACAGCTCATATCTCATGCATACACTCAATATACAAATGAGCTGGAGCTCGTAACAGTCACTGTGCTCCACAGCAAGTGGTATTTTAACCCCCAGAAATGGGTGACACCCACAGGCTCCATCCTCCCTCCCTCCCTCCCAGACTGCCCATTGCAGAGAGAGGAGCAGCAGTGTCCCCCTGTCCTGGGCTGCACCTGTCCCCTGTGAGGGTGCCAGCACCCTGCCTGAAGCCCCAGGAGAGGGGAGCAGGGAGAGCACAAGGACAGGGCCAGCCTAGAGGAGAAGCAGCTTCTCCTGATGAGTTCCAGTGGGATCACACAGCTGGGAGCTGGTGGTGGAGCTGAAAGCAGTGTCCTTTCCAAGGCTGGTGGGACTCCAGGTGATCTGATGGTGCACATCCCTCTCTCCAGCACTGCTCCAACACCAGCACTTCACCTGCAGCAGACAAGTGCCCACTCCATCTGCTGAAGGGCCTGGAGAGTTGTCCAGCTCCCATGGACATGCACAAGCCATCTAAGACCAGCAACAAAATAGACAAGGCACAGTATTTTCCAGTGCTGCCAAAAAGGTCTCGACTCCAAGCAGCTCACACAGGACATTACTTACATTCAAAAAGCTATAAAACTTTTTTACAAAAATAACATTTCTAGTGTTTCATATAAAAATAATACCACAGAGTTCCAGCTGTGCACAGGTGGGGTGCATGGGGAGGTGGCACTGGCAGAGCCAGATTTACCCTCTAGGAAAACCAACCCCAACCAGAGTTCCACAGCTGAGCTGCTGCACAAGGAAGGATTTCACTCCAAATTCATCATTGCAATTCATCTGATTGCACCCCGTACTTGCAAAGGCCGAGATGAATCTCTCAAGTCAACAAAATGCAGAAATAAGGGATGTGTGATGGCAGAAAGCAAACACAGTTGTAGTCTGTCCTCTCCCCCTACAGGGCTGGAGGGATTCCTGAAGGTGCAATCTGACAGATCTACCAGGCACATTCCTCAAACTCTGCTTTACAGCTGGCCCATCATTTTTTATGATCTTGCTTATTGTGCTTTTCCTTTCATTTTCTGCATGCATATTTGTTCTTAGGGATCTGATCCACTAGGTTTGTTAGGATCTGACCCTTGATATGTATCTACATACAAACCATCATATCATCAAGACCTTTGCACGCTCCAGCAGAATTCATCCTGGAGTCCAAGTTTAATACAGGCTTCCAGGACTTGACCACTGATAAAACATAAGACTTATGTACAGTAACATCAGGATGTGTAAAAATCAAAATCAATCTGGGGTTAAAAAAGCCTGGTTCTGTTACAGTGCTTTCAGTGCTTTCATAGCCTGGTGATCAGTGTTATCCAAAATGGAAAAACTAAAATGTGGCTGAAAGTATAGGATCATGAACAGGCATTTTGTGCTTTTTTTCTTTTTTTTTTTTTTGTGAATCAGCAAAGGTGCTTATTTCTAGTGAGAAAACGGGATCACAAGGATGTCTGCTGTAGTAGAGTAATTCCTGCATAGCTACATCCAGAACTGCCTTTAGCTCCACATTTCCTGGGTTTTGTGCTTGCAGAGAACAGCAAAAATGTTCCAATGATAACACAGGAATAGCAAAATTATTGTGTGATTTCTTGTTTTCTCTCATTTGTAAAGATTCATCAGCATTATCCTGCCCTGGTGTTGGATGCAGCTGGACACAAGGTTCATCAGCTGGCAGAAGTGTTTTATTGCATTGATTTGCCAAGACCCAGCTCTCAGAATTCATCTGCAAGAAGAAATATCCATAGCTCCTAAAAGGAAGGGCCTGATTTCAAGGAGGAGACAGATGTGGGTTGCCAGCTTCTCTGCATATAAGATCTGTAGCACTGACCTTCAGTCCCCTGATCAGATGCAGTGTTGGTCAACTATTTCTGAAAAGCTGGGCTATCCCTCGTGTCTCCAGCAAGAGAAAATGATGAGAGTAAATTCAGCCAGCCCAAGGAGAGCCAGCACCCAGCTGGCCACCAGCTCCAGTCTTGGTCTGACAGAGCAGAGACCTGAAGTGCAAAGAAAGAAGCAGCAGAGAGTTTAAGTGCAAATTGTGTGGGTTTGGTATTATGATTGCTCAAGGTGGCTGAGCCCAAGTCCAGCAGTGTGGGAAGGTGAGTGGCTTCGTGCCTGGACCACGATGAACCACAGAAAAATTCCCAACAACAACTTTGAAAATCGCACTGCCTGGCACAGAGCCACCAACAGCAATAGAACAGCCACAGCTTTTGTACATAACACTGCCAGTAGAAAAGAAATGTCTCTCTTATTTCCAAAACACTGTGATTGGTCAGTGATGAAGTAGATATATTGTTGGGCATTCTGCTCTACAAAAAAAATCCGTTTTCTTTGTGATTTTTATTCCCAGGCTTGCTTCCTACTGGTCACCAGTTCAACGTGAACAGCTTTTCTGCAGCAACACACATACAGTTGAGACCAGAAATGTCCATGCCATGAAACATTCATATTACTTCCATTGGATAGACATTCTCTTGGTGTCCTGCCTGCTGGTAGAGCAAGCCCTGTACCATTTCTCTTGACGTTTCTTCTGGTTTGACTCCAAATTTCAGATACACCCATACAAGAACAACACTGCTAACCATCAGTCCACATACTACAGAAACTGGGATGATAAAGTGCATTTGGGACTTTGACAAGAAGCTGGGCAGAGGCAGATTTTTTGGCCTGACTGTGATCATCTGCACTCTGGCTTGGCCTGAGAATGCCTGGTGAGTTAAAACAACTGGGTCTGAAGGCTCTTGCTTCCCTACAGGCAATGAATGCTCAAATGTTGTAGTACCAACAACCCTGTTGGTATGGGTAGAAGCAGCTTTGTCTATGGCAGAGGTGGGGCTTAGAGTAGAAAGTGAAGTAGCCTGTGGTGTTTTCTCTGTGTCTGTTGTGGTCTTCATAGAGTCCCAGAAGGAGGGGAGATCTGATCTAGAGCTGCTGGAAGCAGTGTCTGGTGTGCTGGCTCTGGCACTTGTAGGGTCCAGAGATCCACTTGGAGAAAGTACAGGTTGGTCTGATTCTTTAGTAGCAGGCATCAGGTTGGAATTTGAGTTAGGAGAAGCTGTATCTTGAACAGTGGGGTGTGGGGTGGGCTGGCTGGGGCCCATGCCTGCTGCAACAGCTGCTGAAGACAAAGGAGACACTGAGGACTCTCTCTTTGCTTCTGGAGTGACCTCAGAGGGCACAGCCTCTTCCTGTACCACGGGGGTGCATTCTGCAGGGAGCTGAGTGGGGTCCTGCCTGCCCACTGGGGACTTGCTGGACACCTCTGTTCTGGCAGAAGGAGCATGTATTCTCTCCCTAACTGTTGTTCCAGTTCCTTGGAAGAAACTAGCTGGAGCAGTGGCTTGAGATGGAGCCGTTTCTGGAAGACCAATATGTCTCTCAACATTACCAGGCTTTTCTGCTGAGGTGACAGCACGTGGTGGCATCACTGTGATCCCATCCAGTTTGTCTTTGATCTTCTGCACCCATTCTTCACTTGAATTTGCACAAATCTCCCTGGACCTCACAGTAATAAATCTGAAAATAAAAAGGGATTACTCACTGAATAAAGAAAACACTGGTTCAGGTGATCAGAGCTATGAGGAAGGTGTGTAAACACCAAGTGTTGTCTGGATGATTCATTTCAGGAAAGGCAGGCAGGTGCTGCTGATATCTGACTGAATGAGTATCAGCTGAATGTGACTCACTGATGAAGGGTTTTCCCCTAATAAGATTTCACTTTCAAAAGCATTGTCCTGCTTGGACAGTGTTTCCCTCTTGTACTCAGGGGAGAAAGCTCCACAGGCCCCAGCTGCCCTGGGGCACTCATGCATAAAGGCAAAACCCTCTGATTCTCTGGGTGATGTGAAACTTTCCAAGGTCAACCCAGCACTTCACTTTGGAGCCACCCCCTGGGCTGCAATAAAATGGTGCAATGGTGCATCAACTTCAGCAAAAGCAGAAAACAACAATTATCCCAAAGAAAAGAAATGGAGCTTTTCTCATTTCCAGACAAGCTCACAAGTCTGAATCTGTCTTCAGATAAAATATCTGCTTTCAGAGAAACACGTGAGCTCCCTCCCCACATCATTCCTCTGCCCTGTCCTGTCAAGTACATCCCTCAGTCCCTTTCCCCATCCTTTTGACCCTGATCCCACTTAGGAGTGGGGCAGCACTTACATGGTGGCACTTTTTTTGCAGCTGGGTTCGGTCAAGCGGTAGCCCCTGATCCTCTTCTCCTCTAACTGCTTTGTAAAAGTTAAGCACTCCACTGAACACTTCAAAGGTGCTCTGGGTTGCCCTGAAATAAAAATTTCACCTCATTAAGTGTCAGCTTTTTAATCAGGGCCTCTCAAAACCAGCACTGTTTCTGTTCCCCCTTCTCCAGGGAAGAGTCCAAAGCTTGCCACAAAAGCTTCCTATCCCTGCTGAACTGAGATGAAGACAGATCCTGAGGAAGACAAAGCCAAATTTGCTTGTAGCACCCACACATGTACCCAGGAAAAGGAGCGGGTAAAAAAGCACTGTGAAAACTGTGGGCTTTTGGGACAGCATTTCAGCTTGTCCTGTAGGGTGTGCAAGCCCCTGGACCTGCAGGTCCTTTCCCCTTTGGGTACCAGGAGGACTGGTCTCAGCACAATGCCCAGAAAATACATTTCTTCACCCCCCCAAAGACCTGCTGCAGCCCTCACCAGGGGGCAGGATGCTCCTTATCTCTTCCTCCTGTGGGACTTTCCCTCCAGGTGAGCATCCTGCCTCTCTGCTTGCTGGTACACGGTCTCTGAACGCCACCTGGCCTCAGAGAAAGGTGCAGAGAAAGAACATTTTGGTGAATGATGCTTCACTCCCACAGGTATCTCAACAGCCCAGCTTCCCAAACACATCTTTTCAACCTCCACCAGAAAATACGGTTTTCAGTTTGTAAAGTGTAAAAATAAACCCCCCCTTGACCCCTTCAAGGGGCAAGGCCAGTCACTCCACTGGGGACCACTCCTGCCTGCATCTACCTCCAGCCTCCCACAACAGGCACTTGCACAACACATCCTGCCAACTTGTTCCTGACATCCCTGGGGGCAAGACTTACAAAAACAAGCCGTGATTAATTTGGGGCCTTTGTAAAGAAAGGAATTGGCATCTGGTTTCAATCAGGCTGCCTCTTACAAAATGTTGCCTCTGATTCTGAAGTGAATGTGGCGAATTTTACACAGTTCAGTTAGGAATGATCCAGGTACCAGGTACAAGAATGAACATCAATACAGGAGCACTCTGAATCATCTGCTGGGAAAAACCCTGGTTGCAAAGAAATTCCAAGCAAACACTCCTGTGGCCCCTCTATAGAAGCCTAGGTCAAGTCAAATTAAAGCAAAGCTCTTTTTTCAAGCAATAATGTCTTCTGTGGCACTTTAGAGTCAAGAATTCCCTGCTCAGGGGCAGCTGACTTGCCAACTCTCATTAGCAAGAGGATATTCTGCTGGTGTCCTCCACTGCCAAGAGCACAGTTCAACAAAACAGGAGCAGTGACAAGAGGGCCACACTGTCCCTGTGGGTAGCCAGGGATGTGCATGGTGGGCCCTGCGCCTTTGAGAACCCTGAGCTGATTTTACAATTACTGGCACCAATGCAAATGGTTTCCATTTGGCTGAACTCCTGGTAGATTTCTTCCCAGAGGAGCTTGGAAAGCACCTTCCAAGGACAGAGGGATGCACAGGGAGCATGGAGCCCTCCCTCCTCCTGGGACACACAACCCTGCTTCTCTGAGCTGCATCTGAGTCTTTGCCCAAGGGATCTGGGAGTTTCTCCACCCAGGACCACCGTTCTTAGGAGCCACTGGCATCTGCTTTTCAGCACAGCTCCTCAAAAGAGCCAGGGAGCTCCACCAGCCTTTTAGCAGAGCCAGCCCTGTTACCTCATTTTGGGGAAGTGGATGCTTGGCCACGGCTGAGCAGAGCAAGGCAGTGCCAGGCAGGTTTACCCAGGGCAGGGTAAGCTGCCTGTGTCCCTGCTGTCCACTTTTCTCGGGCCAGCCCTGGAGAACCTGCCCGAGGTGTGAGGAAGGAACAGCTCCATGCCCAGCTGCCCGGGTTGTCCTCACCCCTCCCGACTGGCGGCAGCAGGACACGGATCTCTCCCTGCCCCTCTCCCTCCCCATCCTGGGGACACATCACCCCTTGGTGCTGGGCAAAGTCCAGCCTTGCCTGCTGAGAGCCTGTGAGACAGCCCAGCACCGCCTGCTGAAGGGCAGCCTTGGGCAGCGATCACTGCGCTGTGCCACGGGCACCGACGGCGAGCCCGGCACGGCAGAATGAGCCCAGCACGGCAGAATGAACCCAGCACGGCAGAATGAGCCCAGCATGGCAGAATGAGCCCAGCATGGCAGAATGAGCCCAGCATGGCAGGGCGAGCCCAGCACGGCAGGATGAGCCCAGCACGGCAGGGCGAGCCCGGCCCGGTAGAGCGAGCCCAGCCCGGCCCGGCTCTGACCCCGCTCAGCAGCCCCGCAGCTCGCAGAGATCTCTATGCACAGATCTCTATGCACAGATCTTTATGCACAGATCTTTATGCACAGATCTTTATGCACAGATCTTTATGCAGGTATTTTCCCACTCGCACACACTGCAAGTGACAGCCCTGCCTCACAGCGATGCCATCTCCAGGACAGGGTGCAGTCTCCTCAGACACCTCCCCTTAGCCAGGCTGCATCTTCCTGTCATGTCCCCAGGGACACGAAAAAAGAGGGACAGGAAATCCATGATGCTTTTTTCCTAATACAGGTTATCAGGAAGTCTCTCCGACACTCTCCCCATCTGCCCTAAAGCGTGACAAAACCATCACGGGGCTGCTCGGATGTCCCCGATGCCGGGATTGCGGCCATTGGCTTCCCCCGCACCGCTTCCCAAACCCAGCCTGATCCTGCTGGGAGATCTCTGCATCCCACAGAGGTCCCTATAGCCCCATCCCCTTCCCCGGCCCCATCCCCATCCCGTCCTACGCGCGGCTGTTCCCCGGGAGGCTGGGGGGAGCGGAGCTGTGGCTCACCTCCAGCCAGGGTCACCAGGCACAGGGCCCACAGCTGCAGCTGGAGACAGGCAGCCTTCATGTTCCCGTGGTCGGCTGAAGGAAAGGCAGGCAGGGAGGGATTACGGGCAGAATTTCCCACTCCCGGCTACTTATTGCATCCTCCGGAGCAACACAGATGCGGCCGTTCATTCCAGGATTATGAAGCCCCGCGACAGAGCTTTAGTTGTTATTCAGCTCCCTCACACGTGTCCAGGGTGACGACAGGAGGCGGAGGGAAGAGAGGGAGTGGGGAGGGAATAGCGACTGCAGCGGAGCGGGATGGCTCCTGGAATTCCCCGCTGTACTTACACCCTTTTCCTAACACACGCAGACTGCTTGGCAGGTTATTCAGGCGGGGACTTTCAGTGCTCGGCTGCTCCTTCCTCCTCCTCTCCCACCAATGTGTCTCAAAGCATCACTGTCCTTAGGCTTGCTAAACTCTCCCCACCTCCAACTACAGCTCCCCGCTGCTCAGTAAGCTCATTAATTACCCAAAATGCCAAACCAGTTATTCCTTTCCTTTTTGGCAGCCATCTTACAACAGCAGTCATTAAGCCAAAAGGGACGGAAATTTCTAATCAGGATTGTGATTTCATCAGCTAAATTTTGATCTCAGGCTAGGCTGCCTCTAAGGAGCATCACCAAAGAGAGGGGTGAGCAGGGACCCAGTGACTCTGCAGGCAGCTCCTATGCCCTGGCCGTGCTGTCTGCAGTGTGTGCTCACAGTGACAGCCTGATTTTCCATGTACACAGGGGCTTGCTGATGAGCTGAGAGCAGGATGCTGAGAGCAGGAGCAGGAGACCCCCAGCTCTGCAAGAACCAGGCTGCCTCAGGGCTTTCTGGCACCAGCCCCAGGCCAGGTCAGAAGCGGACATACCAACACTGCAAACACATCCTGCGCTTTCTCTTTCATCTCAGGTCCCAGCAAACAATTTTCCCCTGCCGACTCCCTCGACTGAAAGATGAAGATAAGCTCAAGACTGAGTCTGTCTGCCTCAGAAGCCTTTTTGGCCAAAGTTCTCTTAGGGCTGGTGGAAGTCTGGCATCTCTTTGCTGTGGGAAATTCCAATGGTTCCAGTTTGGATTTTCGTTTTCAGAAGAGAAAACCCCCAGATTTCCATACAATGCATTTGGTAAAAATCCCAGCCTGCAATTCAGCTTTTGCTTATATTGTATTAGAAGAAAAAGCCCATTTCAAGGAAATAAAATAAAAATTGAGGCTTGAAATAGCCTGTTTAATCCAGTCAGAATAGAACATGCTGAGTCTGTTGGGAAGTTTTCTGGCCCTTCCCCAAACAGGGTTTTCTCAGGCTCCACAGAGCCTTACAGGAAACTTTTGTCCTGGGAAATGGCATTGCCTGAAGCCATCAGGCACCTTGGCTGCTGGAAGTGATGGCACAGCCCACACATGCTCACATCTCCCCTGAAGAAACAGGTTCTGCTTCTTCTGCAAAGGGTTTGCTGCCAGAGATAGGTAACACTGAGGAAGGGCTCTGACATTTAGGTGTGTGGGAGGGGGAGTACTTTGTTTGCCAAAGGCATGACTTGCCATAGGCGTTGTTGTTTTAAGGCAGCTGCTTCCCTCTGGCAGATAATGCAGCTGCTGTTCCTCTGCAGATTGGGTTGGAGGTGTTTCACCTGGCAGAAGACTCTTCTAGGTCACCTTTGGACATCTCCATTTACTCCTTCTGAGCTCAGCAGCTGGATTTGAAGGTGACATCTACACAAGGAAATTCCACAGCAGGAGTGTGGAGAACAGCTGCAGCCTCAGCATGGCTTCGTGGGACACCACGAGCCATCAAGTGCTGGCAGCAGTGATAGCCTAAGCCACCACCAGGCTCTGTGTTTCCCACCAAAAGCAGGACACAGAGGTACAGCAACTGCCTCCAATGGGAGCAGGCAGCTCCAATGAGTACTGACAAACCTGGGCTTCAGCTGGAAGAAAACTGGCACTGTCACTCCCAACCCACTTCCTATACCAGCCTCCCATCCCATCCCATCCCATCCCATCCCATCCCACATCTGCTCCTCCACACCAGTGGCAGACCCTTATTGCACTTCTTTGAGGTCTTGCAGCATTGAAGAACCTAAAGTCAGAGGATCTGATGTATTCCAGGAGATATTCCTGATATAAATAGTGGTAAACCACAGGTGTTAATTGCAGTCTGATAGTGAAGGATCTCAGGATTTCCCTGACCTCATCTTGCCTTCAACAGATTTTAGCCTCTTTGGTTACAGCAGAAATTGTCTGGGCACTTGTTTTCTCAATTTGATTTAGTTTCACTTTAGTTTCCAGGAATAGCAGATTGTTTTTCAGTGCAGATCTGGACCTGTAGATTAAATTGTGGATGAGTGGATGGATGGATCCTGTGGATGAGCACAAGCTGGCAGGTGAGCTCCCACATGAGCAATCCCAGAATCACAACATCCAAGTGATGGAGTGTGCAATCCTGCAAGTCAGGGACATCCAAGCCTTCAGGGAAACAAAGAGCAGAAAAACTGAGTAACTGGGAACTAGAGCCAGCTTATCCCAGCCTGTTCCTATTCCTCCTTGGGACATTTCTTGAGGTTACTCTTTGCACCAAAGGCTCTCTGAAGGGTGTTACAGCACCAAAGAAAAGCAGTGGATAACAGGAAGAAGGTTGGTTTTCCCCCATGTATGTAACTACAGTATGACTGAGGAAGGCTTGGAAACATGGATAAGGGAAAAACACTGACAAACATTCATCTGTGCTCCTGCCATGGACCACGCACTGGACACTGGGCACCAACAGGGGCTCCTGCAAGCTCTGGGCCTTCCAGCACTGCCCCAGATGTGACCCTCAGCACCCACAAAAAGGTGTCCAGAGAGTTCAGTGTCCATGCTGGAGTCTGGGCTCTCCAGCTCCTGCTCTGTTCTAAAGACATTTTTGTATCAGGACAGATGTTCTGCTACCTAAACACCGGTTTTGATGCACACAAAAGGAGAGCAAAGTCTGCTGTGGACATTGGTGACAGGCACCTGGCACACTCAGAAGCCTAATCTGATGTCATCCCCTAACCTTTGGTTGTTCCCTGGCAGCCCTCAGCCAGGAGCTTGGTTTATTGTTTCAAATTATAGATACCACAGGTCAAAGTGCCAGGTCCCATCTTACCCAGGAGAGACGTGAAAGCAGCTCCAGCATTTCCCACCTACATAACTTTGCAGGGCTGTTCACAACCAGCTTGAGCTGTGCCCAGAGTCAAGGTCCTCACGGGTCTAGGAAATATATGACTAAAGCCTGGGGAATTGAAGGCAAAAAGCACCTTCAACCTGCAAAGCTTTATATGTAGAACAATATATTAATAGAATGTGGGCTGTGTCCTAAACAAACAGGAAATGGCCCAAGAATACCTCCCGTCTTCTTCAGGGAGTTTCCGTGCTGGTATTTTTGCTATTTGTTCTTTGTGAGAGAAGAAGCGTTTATTGTAGGAGATTTGTTTCCTTGAAAAAAGGCCACAACTGAGAATTAAAAGGGAAAGTCAGTGAGAGCTAGGAGCCTGTATCTGAACTGAAAGAAAGATGCCAGAGTGGATCAGATGAGAATGTTGATGATTTCCACTCCATGGGAAGCATGTTCAGGAGCTCCCAAGGCCCCAGGAGTTGGTGACTCCTGAAGGACAGATGAGCAGGGCCTGGTAACAGGTACTAACAGCATCCTTGTGTGCTCACAGTGTTGTCCTCCATCCCAGAGGTTTGCTGGACAGAGGCAGCAGGAACATTTAGCTTTTGGGATGACCCAGGCAGTGTTGGTGCTGCAAGGGAGACACACTGACACGACTGCAGCTCTGGACATACGATGGGATTCTCTTTCCCCTGACAGAGCTCCCAGTTGCCTCGTGGCAGCTCATCCTCACACTAACCCACCTCTCCTCAGTGGCACTGCTCTGACACAAACCAACCCACCAGCTACCTCTCTCCTGGCCAAGGACACAAGTGCCAGACTCAGGAGAAGGGTCCTTGGAGCCAAATGTGGCCTCTTATTTTGGAGATGCACTTTGGAGAAGCCTCTGTGCTCCATGTAGAGCTCTTGAGCCATTACTGTAATAAGGGAGAGGATCAAATGGCAATGGATCAAGAGTCTGTTTGGCACCACATGACTTCGTGTTTTCTCACATTTGAGAATAAAGTAGGAAATGAGAAGCAGATGTCTGGACCTGTCTGCAGCCAGTGTCTCCACAGGAGACGGAAAGACTCCAATTTTGGAAGTACTGACCACTCTGGGGTTTATGTTTTAAGGAAACTGCTTTACGTAGAAAATGTTTTCAAAAGTAGTAGAGAACATCACACTTTCACTTCTCTGAACACAATGGCTTCCTCCTTCTCTATAAATGAGAACCAATTTGTGGTCCAGCACACAGTGCAAAGTGCTGATACTCTGTATTTTCCACAGTTACCAGTCAGCATCCCAAGGCTGTGGAATGCAGCTCTTCCCCTGGCAGCATCATTCCTGAGCTGCAAACTGTTGTCTGATCCCAGTGGGACATTCAGGGAAAGGTGCACACCTGCAGTGGGAACTGGTGCCTCTCCTTGGCAGCTGGAGCAGCCCTGAGGACTGAGGAAAACTCATCCTATCCCATGGAGGCTGCCAACGGCTGCAAGGAACAAGACTGAAGTTGTTTGAAAATATTGTGTCTAAAGAAACAAACATAGAGCTCTTCAGTGCACAACGTGGTTATGCTCTTTCTAAACAGGGGAGAGTCACTTGCCTCCCACAGAGCAATGCAGCCACTGGGAGCAAGCTCTTTCCTAGGAAAGGGGATGGGGAACTTGGGAAAGGTGCCTGGATGGCAGAGGTGAAACCTGGGCAGCTTTTCAGCTGAGGGGAAGGAGCATGAAAGAACTCTACAGGAGCAGGTTTCCCTAACACATCAAGCCCCTGGCTCCTGCCCAAGTCCCTACAGAGCTGGGGAGACATCCTGATGTCCCAATTCTCCTGTGTAGCTGCAGACCCTGAAGGGAACAGTTCCACACAGCTGGCACAATGGAGGAGAGAAAGAGGGTCTGTCCCCCAAGCTCTGGGACCCCAGGAGGAATGTGGAGCTGCTGCAGCATGTCCAGACACCACCAAGATGCTCAGAGGGCTGGAGCACCTCTGCTGTGGAGACAGGCCGAGAGAACTGGGGTTGTTCAACCTGGAGAAGAGAAGGTTCCAGGAAGACTTTAGAGCCTTTCCAGTACTATCAGGACTATAAGAGAGTTGGAGAGGGACTTTGGACAGGGCATGGAATGACAGCACATGGCAAGACGGTTTCAGATTGACAGAGAGCAAGGTTAGATTAGAT